AATTATATATAATACCCGATTATTACATTTAAATTGCCATAATAAGTGAATTTTCGTGGCTTTATAAAAAAAAAAAAATGCTATACATATTGTAGAATGTAACATAAGCACCTATTTCATTGAAGTACTTTGTATATTTATATATAATCGTAAAACTGATTGTCTCTCTTTCATTTGTTACATCTCATTCTTTATGATGATTAGTTTATCGTATGAAAACATTGAATGAACTATGGCACAGACTAGCAAGGAGTCGAATTTAAAAACACTCATATTATTAATATTACTTTTTGTGTATGTGTATATGTGTATATGTGTGTGTGTGTGTGTGTGTGTGTGTGTGTGTGTGTGTGTGTGTGTGTGTGTGTGTGTGTGTGTGTGTGTGTGTGTGTGTGTTGTGTGTGTGTGTGTGTTGTATGTGTTGTGTATGTGTATGTGTATGTGTGTGTGTGTGTGTGTGTGTGTGTGTGTGTGTGTGTGTGTGTGTGTGTGTGTGTGTGGTGTGTGTGTGTGTGTGTGTTGTGTGTGTGTGTGTGTTTTTCATATATCTATATATGTATATAGGTAAATATCTATATATGTATATATATATCATATATATATATATATATATATATATATATATATATATATATACAGATAGATGGATAGATAGATAGGTAGATAGATAGACAAAGATATTCTGCGCCCGTATTCTCTGTGTATTTTTTGCCGGTGCCCGTGTGTGTTTACCTCCCGGGTCGTAACAGCCGAGGCGCCATCAACTCGCCGCCGCCCACAAACCCAAACCCACTGAGGTCTTATTCATTATGGCTACATATATCTGGAAAGTTACATTCCAGTCCGCTGCATAAAAATAAATAAATAAATAAATAAATAAAGAAAGAAAAGGAACAGCGAAAAAGAGAAGTGACCCAGAGTGAAAATGTCACAGGAAAAAAAAAGGCTGAATAAAAAAATACGACGACAAACAGATTTCATAAAACGACCAACTAACCACCGGATGCATCGTCATTACGTTTCCGCATTACCTATAAAGGACCAATTTGCCTGTACCAGTGTGCATGGAAATATATGAAGGCCTTTTTAGCGTTATGTTTTCAAAGGATTTTTCCCAACACTTCTGTGCATTTTTCCAAAAACGTGTTTGTGCGACATACATATACATATAGGTATACAAAAATAAACACGCGCGAGTGCACGCACACGCATGTACATGCATATATTCACACAAGCACACTCTTTCACACTTACACTCGCATTCTCACTCTCTCTCTCTCTCTTCTCTCTCTCTCTCTCTCTCTCTCTCCTCTCTCTCTCTCTCTCTCTCTCTCTCTCTCTCTCTCTCTCTCTCTCTCTCTCCCCCCTTCCATCTTCCATCATGATGAGTTTATCAAAAGGATTTGCTACTGGTTTGAAGACTATCATTACCAGCCTTGAGGCTGATGCACCGTTTACAAGTCGTGAACTTCTTGCAGCCATTAAAGACCAGCAAATCCACTGCACCTGTGGATGATGGAATCACAGTCTTCTTACTTCATAGATTTCAAAGGAGCATTTGACAGACCCTCCCCTACTGCAATCCTCTGAGTTAACTCTTCTAGGTGTAAAGAGCAAGTTTCAGCTATGGACAAGGGATTATCTGTCTCAGAGAAGAGCAAAAGGACGGTACCAAGGCACCTACATTACTTATGGTGAACTCGAGTTAGGCACTCCACAAGGAGGAGTTTTGTCCCCTTCACAACTGAACATACTTATGTACTCTCTTTGCAAGTTTAATAGTGAGTTAGGAGACCTATGCAGCATTACATCCTATGCTGATGACATTCTCATTCAGGTCTTTGATAGGGGAGAGTATGTTCTTCAGAGATTCAGCAAAACGTGCATTTCTCTTGGACTCATAAATCAACCCTATAATTAAGTATATTTCTATATCTCATAAATTGTCATACATTCCGAAATTAGGTGGAAAAGTTGTTGTGGAAACTGACACCTATAAGTATCTTGGTGTTATGGGGATTGCTCCCCACCACGTGTCCCGGAGCGCTTAAAACCTTTGAAATACATAAGTCTCATGTCCCGCAATTCCCGCTTCACTCGAGAAACTGTTCAAAACATCAGGGAATGTTGCCTGGAGCGCTTAAGACCTTTGCAATACATAAGTAACAGATACATAGGTGCTTCCCTAAGAGTCCTAAGGTTGATGTACATTTCCCTTGTTAGGTCCATGATAGACTGCGAGCCCGGTTCTTAGTATGTTGCCTCAAAATGCTCTCAAACCCCTTGAAGTCTTACAGAACAAAGCCACGAGAGTCATTCTTGGTTGCCCAATGCTTGCTAAAGTTCTTGTCATGAGGAAAGAGCTAGACCTCCCGTCAATTCACAGTCGTATTACCCAAGTCAACACCATACTCGGCATCAGACTTCTGCAGCTTCAATCAACACCACAAATTTCCCTTGCATTGTCTAATGAGATTAATAGTAGAGTTGGGCATGCCCG